AGCTGGCCTGGGTCTGAAAAAGCCTGGGTTAAAACCGGTCTCGCTGAACATAGCAGACAATGAGGACTACTGAGACCTCAAGAACAATGGCAATGGGTTTTTGATCCTACTGCACCTATTGGTTTTGTGGGAGCCTAGGCAGTTTGGATGCTCACCTTACTAGACCTGGATGGAGGTGGGTGGTCCTTGGACTTCCCACAGGACAGGGAACCCTGATTGCTCTTTGGACTGACGAGGGAGGGGGACTTGATTGGGGAAGGGGGAGGGAAAGGGGAGGCGGCGGTGGGGAAGAGACAGAAATCTTTAATAAATAAAAAAATAGATAAAATTAAACAATAGTAATAAAGCAAAATCAGTGTATGGACATCTATGATATTTAATTCTAATTGCACCAGAGTATAGGCCCTGATCTTGCAGTTTATTATTATCAAATGTAGTAAAATTATTATCTGATGTAGATGCAAACAAACCATCCAGTTAGGTTTTCATAAGACTAAGGAAGAAAGTAGAGTTCAATATCGATTTAACCTAAACCTTTGCCAAGACCACTTCCAAAATATAACCCCAGTAGTGCAGACACTGAGAGAAACAATAAATGGGAACTCTTGAAACTGAAAAGCTTCTGTAAAGCAAAGGACATGGTCAACAAGACAAAATGAAAGCCTACAGAATGTGAAAAGATTTTTACCAACTCCACATCAGACTGAGGATTGATCTCCAATATATAAAAAGAACTCAAGAAATTGGTCATCAAAAGAACAAGTAATCCAATTAAAAAATGGAGCACAGACCTAAACAGAGAACTCTCAACAGAGGAATCTAAAGACTAAAACACATTTAAGGAAATGTTCAACATCCTTAGTCATCAGAGAAATGTAAATGAAAACAACTCTGAGGTTCCATCTTACACCTGTAAGAATGGCCAAGATCAAAAACACTGATGACAACTTATGCCAAGAGGTTGTAGTGGGGTAAAGGAAACAATCCTGCATTGCTGGTGGCAGTACAAGCTAGTACAGCCCCTTTGGATGTCACTATGACAATATCTCAGAATATTAGAAAATAGCCTTCCTCAAGACCAAGCAATACCACTTTTGAATAAATGCCCAAAGGCTGCTCAATTGTAACCATAAAACATGTACTCAACTATGTTCATAGCAGCACTGTTTGTCAAATGCCCCTCAACCAAAGAACGGATAAGGAAAATGTGGTACATTTACACAATGGAGTACACACAGCACAAAAAATAATGACACCTTCAAATTTACAGGCAAATGGATGAATCTAGAAAACATCATATTGAGTGAGATAACCCAGACCCAGAAAGACAATTATCATGTGTACTCACTCATAAGTGGCTTTTAGACATAATGCAAAAAAAAAAAAAAACAGCCCACAAATCACAAACCCAGAGAACCTAGACAGCAATGAGGACACTAAGAGAGACTTACATAGAGCTAATCTACATGGGAAGTAGAAAAAGACAAGATCTCCTGAGTAAATTGGGAGCATGGGAACCATGGGAGAGGGTAGAAGGGGAGGGGAGAGGAATGGAGGGGAACAGAGAAAAATGTATAGCTCAATAAAATCAATAAGAAAGAAATAGCAAATAAATAAAAATAATCTTTGCTAATATGAAAAGTAAATTTGCAGTGTGGTCTGTGGACCAACTGCCAAAGCCAAAGGTGCGGTGTGTGCTGAGCTTTCCTCTGTTTCCCTCTCACTCTACACAGTCTAGGTATCTAGTCTCTGCTCCATCATCCTCTTTTTTCTTGTTCTAGGAAACAAGGGCTCTGATGGGTTGCTTTATTAGGGTTCCATGGCCAGCTGAGTTAGCTTTGGGCATGGCCAGAGGGCTGGAGTACAAAGCAAGAGGTATGAGGTGCGTTTCCCTTGGCCCCTCTATTTAGCAGCACGTCTGCCAATGCCTGCTTATATTTCCCCACCATCAGCTTTAGCTGATGATCATTCTGTGTCTCCAGCTCCCATCTCTCTTGCACTACCTGCTCCCTCTACTGGTCTTTCCAGTTCTAGGATAGCAGTACTCCCAGCAGTGGCTGATTCTGAGGTACAGGCACATGACATCCGATGGATGCTCCCAACCTGCTCATACTCCAGAGTTCTCTTTTAATTAAAGTCTTTTCACTTAGTTTGAATGACTTAGGTTTAGCTTTGTTTGTTTTTCTTAGGTTCTAGGGTTTAGATTTGTGTGGATGTTTAAGTCCCTAGTAGGGACACTGAGGACAAGTACTGTGAACGAGACCAGCCAGCTGGACTAGACTGTTTGGTCAAGTGAATTAGGCACTCTTTGCTCTCTCACACCCATGAATCAGTGTTTATGTTGGGTCATAGCTTAGGTTATGTCCTATACCCCTTCTTATGACCAGTTGGTTCTATTATTAAATTCTCTAAGGTCGTCTTGAAAGCTTGTTTTAATTTGTCTTTTGTGCATGATCTAATTATCA